AAATTCAGTCACAATGTTCATGCGCCAGAAAGGGAACTTTAATCATGGTAAGCGTTATTATTTCCTACTCAAACTTCATATATCGAGAGAAAAATGTTTGGCATTTGTAACTATAATTATAAACACCAAAAAATATTTTTTCTCTCAATGATTTATCATTAATTTCATTGATTTACGTTACAAAAATCCATATAAATCCGAAATTCCGTTCACCTAACACTTCAATGTTCATTTATTTACTTTCTTTCTAATCTTACTGCTTTGCTATTTAGCTGTCTCTGAGGAACTAGGCGTATATATCTTGGAATTACCGTACAAGGGTAACGAGATATCCATGTTCGTGTTGCTCCCTCCGTTCTCCACTATACGATCTGCTCAAAATCCTTCTAACGAACCACAGGACGGCATCCGTCAATTGGTGCAACGTCTGGCAACCGAGAAGGGCTCCCGGCAGTTACGGGAATTGTTGGACGACGGATTACCGCCGCGTGAAGTCGAGGTCAGCTTACCACGTTTCGAATTAGAACGAGAGTTGTCAATCAATCAATTGTTGCATACTTTGGGCGCCGGGGAACTGTTGACACCCGGTACGGCTGATCTTCGTGGTTTTCTCGCGGATGGCGAGCAGAACTTGCACCTCGGTGATGCTGTGCACCGAGCTCGCATCGAGGTTACGGAGGAAGGTACTACCGCAGCTGCGGCAACTGCGATTTTGACCTTCCGCTCCAGTCGACCCACCGAGCCTGCCATCTTCAACGCCAATCACCCATTCGTCTACATCATATACAACAAGGCTGATCACATCATTCTTTTCACCGGTGTTTTCCGCTTACCTCAACCGACATAATATTCCTAAACTCCTGGTGGTATTTGAACAGATTGTGCCGTTTAAAAGAAACTTGTTAATCCTTGGAAAGATGGTTCAGTCTAATGATATGACAAGGATTGACATTTGTCTTTCCACTTTTTCTTATTGTTAATCAGAAGGTACCATCTTTGGCAGGATCTATTTCTTATGTGGTGTTGAGCGGTTGATCGGAGACAGCTGGTTCTTTAAATCTTGCGAAGTTGAGGTCGTTGATTGTCAAATATGAATTTTTGAAGAATCGAAAAAAAGGACCTTGCATTTTCCGGCGATTTTTTTAGATGAGTCTATTGCATGAATCTCATTAATTTATTTTCGTATTTAGATTTTGTACTTTTACGACGTCTTATTTTTAATGTTAGATAAAAATGAGTTCAAAATAAAACAACAATGTGTGTGTCACATCATAAATATTATAATGTAAATATTATTTTCTGATGTGATATATGTATAGATAATAAATTTCGACGAAGAATAATCGCGTCAACTGACTGAATAATTTTTTTGTTCAACAGATATTCTTTTTTCAAATTTGATCATCCCACAATCTTAATAAAAAATTGTACAAACATTAAGCAGAGATTTATGTAATAAAAAATTAATAAAAATGATTTTAGATTTATACATGATTATATGTTATAATTAAATATTTTCTACTATTTCTCTCTCTCTCTCTCTCTCTCTCTCTCTCTCTCTCTCTCTTTCTCATACTAACATTACTATAATAACAAATTCAACAGCTATTATAAATAGAAAGAAAATACTAGAATATAAAAATAAGTCATCAATTTTAATCATAAACAGAATATAATTACAAAGAATACACATTGAAAAATATCATTTTATTGCTAAGAAAATTTTCGAAGAAATAGAAAAAAGTTGAACCGAGATTGAAATTTGTATTCGTAGAAATGAACATTAGCATTTCTTAAAGTGGTTGTATCGCAAAATGATTTTTCTTAAGATTTGTTTAAAGTTTGTTTAAAAAAAAAAAGTTTTATTATTTGAAGATAACGATATTCTTTGTACATAAACATATTATTTTGAGGGGAGGGGGTAACTAAGCATGTTCAAAAGATAATTGCATTTGAAGAATACTTTCAACATGTGCTAGACAAGGAGTGACAGTACATTTTCAATTATAACGTAAAAACAGTATTTAGAAATTCGCTCAAAAACTAAAGGACTATAGATAAATATAATACGAATCTCTTAAACCGAAGAAAATTGGGGGTAACTAGGCAAATATTAATTATAAAACCTTAGAAAATTGCTTTAATATTTCACTAATATTCATTTCGTTTATCAACTCATTCATTCTCAAATATTGGCGCACAGTGGGGAAATAAAAATTACTATTGGGAAATAAAAATTATTGTTCAAAAATTCAATCTACAATACATTTTTTAATCGCCGAACTATGCCGCTCCTATGCGATACAACCACCTTAATCTTTGAAAATCAGCAAACAGTTTTAAACTATCGTTTATTTCATGTTTCTATATGATTCTTCCTTTCTTGCCAAAATGATTTAGTAAATATAAATGACATTGCCGTTTGATTTTGTCTGCCTAAATAATACTGCTGCTATTGTATTCTGTATCTTCAGAATCAACTGTCTCATTTACAGTGAACGGAACTACATAATGAGCCTCCTACAATAAACCATTAGTCATAAATCAGAAATCAGAAACTAAAAATTGACTAATCGTCAATTTTTAGCTTCTGATTTCTGATTTATGACTAATGCCTTATTGTAGAAGGCTCATATATAACGGCCAACCGTTCGCCAATATTATACTTCGCTAACATTTTCATCGATTTAGAAATTTTCTTGTCTGATCGACAATTTTTGTAATTCATGTTAAAATCAACTTAAAACTAATTAAAAGATACGCACATAAATACATTTTTATTCTAATCCTAGCAAACGCGGCAAAACATTATACTATATAGATGATCAAATATATTTTCATATATTTGATTTCATAAATCAGATCTTTGTATAGACAAATTTTTTAATTCACTAATTGATTCTTCATTTTAATTAATTACTTGTGGTATCTTATTTCGCTTAGTTTTATGCGATTTATTATACATACCCTGTTAGAAATGTAAATGAAGCTCGTGGTTAGGAAGGAAATTAAAAGTAATGATTTAATTGAAAATTAAGTTACAATAAAAATACATTTGTTTCACTTCAACTTATCGCAGAGAATGCAAGAATAAAAAACAGACCTAAATCGAATTGAAATTACAAAAATAGCTTCCCATTCTGAGGAATGTGAGAAGTTGTTTTGAATGTAAATTTTCCCAAATCTCAAATTGAATAAAATTTTTTTCTAACTATTGCTTAATTTCTTTAAGAGATTTTCATAAATCTCTTCTTTTGTTTAAACTATTTTTTTATATTATTTATAGTTACGAGAAAAATAAGGAAATTAAAGTAAGTATTGTAATTCAATTTATCATATAGAGTTTCATTAAAAATTTTTTTAATGTAAATCCTCTCCAATAGCATAAATGTTGAAGCAATGTTGTTGCAACATTACTGCAACATGTAATATTGCTGTAACTTTTGTGCTGTTAGGGCCCAATAACTTGTGTTCAGGTAAGTTTACAATACAGAGAACACCTCGAGATGTTATAAGCCAATCACAGAGCCGTACTAGGAACTTATGACATTTAAAACAGTCTTAAAATAAGAACGGATTATAAATACCGACTTTAGACAGGTGGGTTGTCTAGATAACACGAATTACGACTTTATCAACTACATGTTTGAAGAAATTTTAATAAAATAAAATATAAATTAAAATACAATTTCAATCAGAAATTTTGTTTTCACCTTTTGTAATTGTTCCAACAGAAATATTTAAATTAATTTAATCTAAACTCTCTTTTTATAATTATCGTACGAAACTTTTTTAATCCGTACTCAGAACACGCTTATTATATTAGAGTATTTTTAATACATAGTTTATGTTCCAAATAAAGTTTAAAAAATAAAAGTGCATTTATATCAATAAAAGCACATTAATACTTTCTTTATCGATTGACTTCTAACTCGATTGACTCGATCAGTAGCTTGCGCCTCTTTCGGTCGAATCGGCAAGTTAAATTCTCGAAGTTAAAATCCATTCACCGGACATGACGTCATTCTGGATTGGTACCTGCTTGTCCATATCGTATGCACGTGTTTGCGTGCGTGTCTAACTTTAGGTCTATTCCTTTTTAGCTGAACTATATTATTCGTGCACTTAAAATAAGATGATAATACAATTGTGTTTTGGAAATAACGAACACTCAGTGCAGATTCAGTGCAGCTAAAAAGAACAAGCTGCACATCAACGATGATCAACTGGCAGCATCCAAGAAACAAGACATAGCAGGATTTGCTGCAGCTATTGGCATTCAATTGTATCATGTGAAACTCATACACATGATGAATTCGTTTGAATCCTTGATGTACGAAACAATAAGAAAAAGGTTCATGAGGGACGCGAAGAGACTCGCTCTTCCTCGAAACATAACGTCATAAATGCATAAAGAAAATTTGCATTTTAAGTGCATCCTCATATAGATAGAAATGCGATTGAATAATTTTATGCATATAATTATGTATAGCTATGCAAGTTTATCTGGATAAATCCTACAAAAAATTTTGATTACGATGATTCCGTTTGGGATTGTCAACCAAGAAAGATTTAATGGACAAGTTACTTCTCAAATGTATTTTGCATTACATTTTTGTTTGTATTATTTTCTCACGTTTCCGTTCGTACATTTTCAGATTTCTTGCACGTGTCTCTTGGTCAGTTACGTTTTAATAATTATAATGAAAAACTACGTTTATTCTCTTATCCAATATATTTATTGTAACAATATTTTAAGAATCGGCGATTGAGAAATTGGAAAATGAATTGATTTAGTCCCATTGTGTGTATTTAATACTTAAGTAATTATAAAGAGAATTATTTATAATAAAATGTACTCTCGGCAAGACAAATCGGTATCTATGTATGAGCTCCTTGAACCAAAGAATAATTGAATATACGTGTCGGAATAATGACTGGATTGATTAAATTTATAATCGATAGCTTAGAAATGCATTATGCTTATAAGAAAAGTGTCTTCAGTTTTGCTCTCCGTGCACTCTTTAAATTTCTTGGAGGGAGAATCCAGTCTAAAGAATTTAAAGAGCGCAAACCGGCACGAACAGAGATATTGTAACAAATCTGCAAAATATATGTAAGAAACATCATTATATATAACATCAAATCTGCAAAAATATATGTAAGAAACATCATTATATAGTTATCGTCCTTTTGTAAATTACGATTTAAAAATGCGCTAATCAAGTCTCGCGTGCACGCTGTCGACACGCACAGAAAAGGTTAAAATAAGTGAGGTTAGGTATATGATATCACGTGTTGAAATGCTTGTATATATTACATATATATATATGTTGATACGTAAATATACATGATGCACAAATATAATTCATTAATATTTTAGAAATGGTAGTCAGTTTTGTAAGAATCTACGATATTTAATTATTTGGTAAGTTTAAAAAATTATTAAGTAAATAATTGTGTCTGTTTTAGTAAATGTTATGATTCCCTTCATTGTTATAAAGAAATAAATTGGAACAAAAGAAAATAAACGTTACAAACTTTTTGAATATATTGAAATATAAAATATGAAAAATTTGTTAAACGAGAAAAGAAGAATTACATCTATAAAAATAAATAATTTCTATAAAGAAGTAAATAGTATATATATATGAAAATGTATTAAAATTTTAATAATATACGGAGAGAATTTTTTCTTAGAGTTTATCCTGAAAATATGAGTAGTTCTGGAACAACTTTGTATTTCGACGAATTTTATGTAAATTGCTCTCATTTATTAATAAAACTACAATAAAATATAAAATAAATAATTTGATTAATTTGAAGTGGTAAATATTGTACAAGTATCATATTTTCTACAAGTATACTACAAGTATACTACAAGTATACTACAAGTATACTACAAGTATACTACAAGTATACTACAGTATACTACAAGTATCATATTTTCAAGGTGAATTTTAAAACATAATTCTCTCCGTGTAAAGCTTCACATTTTTATTTTATTTTGCTTCAGTTAATTTATTTACTGATGAATGAAATATTTACTGAATGAATATTTACTGAAGATAAAAAAAAATCATATTCATCAAATGTTATGAAATTATATCGATTTTAGTCGCAATTTCGGGTTTAAATAAGACAATAAAGAAAGACAGACTGACATCTTCCGAGAGATTTTCTCGAGACATAGAACACATTTTAAAAATAATCGCATTTGTTACATGCGGAGATTTATATACGAAAAAAAATTAATAAAAATATTTTTAGACATATCGCTCATTCATTTCTACACAACTAAAAAACAAAATTCTTCGGAAAATAAATTCGAATATCTGGTATCATTAAAATTTTGTAATATTAAATTAAACGTAATAACTAATTGAAGTATGTACGTTTTAAAATTCTTTCTTTTTTTCCTTATGTTTCTGTTCGTTTTTTGCAAGCAATTAAAAAATAACAATTTCTGAATTATGTCATATGCGTGATGTGTAATTGTAATTAAATATTACTCAACTCACTCCAATTATAATAATTCGTCAGCAACGTGAAAAAAAATATTATATATAATGAATATAAATTTAATTATCAATTTAATTATAAATTCAAAGCATAATTAACGCAGAAAATATCTAGTGAGAATAGTGAACATTGTTGAAAGGAAGATTCTTTAAAGACCTTATTAAAATATTAAAAAAATTATCATTCGGTAAAATATTTTCTAAAAAAGTTCATGATATCTACTTATAAATGCTTAGTAAGCAATTACGCGGTACCAGAAATACTCATGTTTCTTATAAGTAAAAAATATATAAGGTAAAAGACATAATATTTACGAGATCTTTAATCCAATCTAATGAAATGATTTTTCAAACTTCAAAATAGGATTTCGTGATAAAAACAAATAAGATGTATTTTGATAATAGAATTTTATTTAATTTTATGTAAAAATTGATTCGGGGATCTATGTGATATACAGCATCTCTTAATGCAAATTTCAAATTTTCTTGATATTTATAAGATTAGATTTAGATATCATGTAATTAAAAAAAAAGACACTTATTTTCTTCTAAAATCGATGCGTTTGAAACAACTTATTGATATCACATATTATTTTCAAGATTATATTGTCGGACATTCTAATTTCAATTTGAGCAATGAAAAGTTCTTCTTTCTGATAACAGTTCATTATTAACTATAGCTAGATTATGTAAACAATAAATAAAGTCTATTCGCAAAACTTCGCGCTTTATTTAAAGTTTTTATGTGGCTGCTGTATTTTCGTGAAATCGCGTAAACATAAATAACACCGATTAATCTTGATTATATGTTATTGATCCTGTCGTATTTTATCATCAGATTTGGAGAGATCATTTCATCATTTACGGTACAAGCTGAATTGGACAATTATATTATATTTTGTTGACATTTTCGCCAGTTTAAATAAATTTTTTGGCCTATTGATCAACAAAATTTTAATTTGTATTGGACTGCGTTGATAGCCCACGGATTATATCAAAGGTATAAATTGTTGATCTTAGCAAACACGGTAAAATGCCAATAATTATATGTACACGATAAAACATATTTTTGCTCATTCTCTAATTCACTATATAATATTATTTGTAATTTAATTTTGCAATCTTTTATTTCTCTCAATTTGGTTTTATGATATTAAAAAAAAAATATATATATATATACATATGATTTTTCTTACAGAGACTAAATTTTATAGAAAATTTTAATTTTTTTTAAAGATGTTAACAGATGCTCGCTTCAAATTCGCTCTTGAATGCCTGAAGAAGTGTATCATGATGAAGCCGAAAAATAATATTTTTTTTAGTCCGCATCTCTTATATCATAAACTACTCTTGGTATATTTCGGTGCTCTCTACGATTTGGAATGTACTCTTAAAGAGCTCCTCCATATTCCTGACACATCAAAACGCATTATTGAAGAATATTATGCCAATGAAGGAGGCAATCATTTTTGTTACGTAGTGAGTAATTATCTCAGGTGTGATTAGCACTGTCATATAAAGAATATGCGAGAATATGATTTATCGCTGACATTTTCGGATGTATAAAATTATAAAACTTTTAATTAATAAATGAATTTTATGGTAATTTATAATGAAAGATGTAACGAACATTTATTGTCTTAAAGAAAGAGGAAAAGGAGAAGAAAGAACGGGAGGGGGAGAGAGAAAAAAAGGGGGAGGACGAGAGAGAGAGAGAGAGAGAGAGAATCATATAATTTATTTATTGTTATTTCAGGAAAATGGATCCAATAACTCCTATACGTGTCGAATTTATTATAAAATTATGATTGATACCTCAAAAGAGTTGTTTATTGATACACTGACTTTACATTCAGCTACTAATTCTGTGAAGGAATACACTTTCAATATCTATGCCGACCTCGTAAGAAATTTCGTCAATAATATTGTTACGTGCACGACGCAAAGGTACATAGAAAATTTGCTACCACCGAATAGTATCGATAAAAATACTGAAATAATCATGTTGAATACGATCTACGTTGAGGGTCAAAATCATAAAGAAAATTATGATGATCTTGATGAACTTCACGAGGATACGCTTTTAGCCAAACACATTAAATGTAAGAACAAAAATTTCAATAATGGTCACTATTCACTTAATTTTATATTATTCATTTATTATTAACTTTAATATTACAACTTCTGAATTAATTATATAAACAAAAAATTTGAATTATTTTATTTTTTATCATAAAACATTTTCATATAGATGGAAAATATATGAAACATATTTAGAGATATTAAAAACATATTTTTAATGTCTCTTTTATACTTTCAATGATTTAATCAAAATTGCTTGTTTTTAACAAAAATTGCTTGTTTTTTGAGAAACGTAATTTATTCCTAAGATTTTAATGTTCCTCTTTCTAGATAAATCTGAGCATCTAGATGCATTTATTACAGAGGTGCCTTGCAAAGAAAAGAAGATAACAACATTTTACTTGTATCCAGCAAACCAGTCGGAGTTGGAAGAAGATATTTTAAGAGAGATTGAAAAACTGATCGAATTGGTAGAACAACTAACGACCGAAGAAGGATCTCAAGAACTTCGTAATTTGCTAGATAATGGGGTAAATGGAGTGGCGTTTCCAATTGTAATCAAGAATACCGTGATCGAGCATGACCTGCCAATATATGAACTATTCGACAAGCTAGGCATTCCAGATTTTACGCCTGACTTATGTACGGCCCAAATAGATGATTATAGTTTTAACAGTGTGAAACTTGGCGACATCATACATCGTGTCAGTATTAATATGACGAGTAAGAATATCGTGGCGACCGCGAGTAACGTATTGTTCACTTACAATGGTTATAAACACACGCCAAAAATCCCCGAAGATGCGAATGTTGTATTCCCGTGTATCTGCTTGATTTACGATAGAATACATCGCAACATGCTTTTCTGTGGCATATTATGGGAAAGGAACTAACAGAAAGTAAAATCGTAGATATTTATGAGGAAGACAAAGTTTAATTTAGCTTAATTTTTTTTTTTAGAGAAAACTGTCTCCTTTCAAAAAATTTAAACTTTTTTTTAACCAAAATATTAGAGTATATTTTTTACTTCTTTGAACGACAAGTATCATCGATTTGACTTCAACAAATGTGTGAGAAAAAAAAACAATATAAAATTACTTGAAAAATGTAAATATAAAATACAACTTATATTTTAATTTTATTCAGAAAATTCTTTTTTCTCCTCTTCGTTTCTTCGTAGAAAAATTTAAATTAATTTAATAATCTAATCTTTCTTCAATATTATTCTCTGATGAAAATTCTTTGTCTCGTTATCGATTGACTTTTTTTAAGGAATTTCCGCGATTAAAGTCACTAGATCTATAAAGTACCGCAAACTCGCATCCATTTTCACGCGAAACGCAGCCATTTCGAATTTATGCATTTGTATTACGTGCTTTATTTGGGAAAATGAAGCCGTCAAGTATATAAATCAATATTTTTTTAGTTGTAATTAATTTACTTATAAACAAAAGAATATGTACGAATGCTTAATTTATATGCTCTTTAATTTAATACGGATTTATTTGTTGTAGAAGTTTTATTGTGTTAATATCAACACAATGATGATGAATTTGCGCCTTCAATCTCGAGATTTACGCTTGAAAATGTTTCGAAAATGTATGGTTTAGATTAGCTGCACCCATTTGATTCAATGTGGACCCTGGTATACCCCTGGTAAATCGTGTATTATGCCCTTCGGCCATTTTTACGCGACATTTCTGAAATCAATCGCGGTACTTTATAATCTAGTAACTTTATCCGCGATCGGTAGCTCGCGCCTCTTCCGGTCGGACCGATAAGCTAAATTCTTGAGACTGAAATCCATTCACCGCGCTTGACGTCATTCTAGGCATCGCTTCTGACTTGGTATCTGCTTGCTCGTATGTATGTGTCTGACTTTGCGTATCAGCGACCGTTAACCGGTAGCATCCGCGAAACACGAGCATACCAGGATCTGCTGCAACCGTTGGCATCCGATTGCGTCACGTGGAACGCATGCACATACGCATGCACGTACACATGTAACATGCGACGCAATACGACATACCAGAAACACGGACGAACGCGAGTTCGTCCTGGTTTGCACTCTCGAGTCCTTGACGTGCTACGAGACAAGAGATGAGCGAACTCGAGATCCGTGAGAGACGCGAAGAGACTCTCGCGCTTCCTCGAAGAAACATAACGTCTTTAAATCTTCCATTTGGAATCGCCAATTCGGAAAAATTTCCTAGCAAACAAGCTGATGTTCCTTGTCGTCATTTTGACGTTTAAATGTCCATTTTGAAGATGTATATTTACGTACACATATAACATTACTTTGAATATTGAATTCTAAGTGAATTATCTAAACATATATTTATTTCATACAAAAAACTGTTAATTTGATTTAACTATTATTTTTTTATTGAATGAATATTTATTTACTCCAAGTAAATGTTTACTTATAATACTATTCGAAGAAATTGTATATTAAAATTTAGTAAATTTTTTTTCAGTGTACTGAGCGACAGATTAACATCCTTTCTGTACCAAAGTTTTTGTGCCAAATGCAGAGTGTATTTTAATGATGATAGTTTAGTCTAATCATTTATTCTGGTCATTTCTCGCGTTGTTCCGAAGACAGACATCTTCCATAAAATCGTTGCGTAAAATCGACACTTATTGTCGCATCCAACTTTTTTTTTTATATCCGAATATGTAAATCGTGGGTGTCGCGCGATGACAAATGGCGTCGTTATGTGTGTCCTTACAATACTGACGCATTCCGTCTGCTCTAAAAGACTCGCACATTAAATTATTATGTATTATTCGAGTCGTGGATGTACATTTTTTCAACGCGCCATGAAAACGAAACAGCGCGAGTGAACTGACACGATCGCGAACATTGCTTGCGTGTATATGATTCTCTTTTTTATGACCGCAAATTGCTATTCCGTCCGTGAATAAGATGTCGAAATAATAATTGGCTTCATTGACATTTCCAATCGAAATCTACCAGACATCCTTCAGTCTAAGGCTGTGAATACCGAGAAACTTCGGAATTATATGAAATTATTATAAATTAATTACACAAACGTAGATAATTCGTAATAATCATCCGAATCTGATTTTCAATATTTAAACTTGCAAATAACTGCTACAATTTATTGAATTTACGTACGATAAATATAAATGCCATTAATAGTGAAGAGTTTGCTGTAACAATGAGCTACCCCATTTAGTAAAAACGGAGTAAATAAACTCTAAAATGGAAAGTAGGAAAAGTGTCAATATTAACAATAATTATATTAGGACTCGCGAATTTTAAACAATACAAAAAGATAAATATATCAGGCTAATGAGAGTCAGCAACTATTGATGTCTTCTTTATTTTAAACGTTTCGACTCTCTTTGGAGTCCTCCTCAGCAAGAATGATACAAGTATAATTATCTCACATATCCGTAATGCTTAATAATATAGTAATAATAATAAAGTAACATCAATATTACTTTAAATTTTATTTATTCCATTTATAATTTCATTTATTATTATTAATTTAAAGCTGTTACAAAATGTGGGTAGCCAATTTCAACAAATCCTTCAATTTTTCTCTAATTTCTTTTCTTTACACAATTTTTTAAATCTTTCTCTTCGATAATGTCACATAATTCTATTAGGTGTTGGAATTAATTCGTAGCGTTTTTAATGAAAGAATGTTATTTATTTCACATGAGCATTAAAAAATACATTAATGAAAGTACTTCCCATCACTTGTAAAACGCTACGAATTAATTCCAACACCTAATATATATGAGAAGCAGATTCGATTTTCAAAATGCGTTTTGTACAAAATTTTCTGAGCTACTTTGAGAAAGCATTTTTTCATCGTTAATTTATATGCTGAAAAAAACTTGGACATTTCGAAGTGCATTATATTTCTTAACTAGAGACAAACAAAATGTATTTGTTTAACATTTTTAGCAATTGTTTAGCAATTTTGTTTAATATTTCACATCCTACTAATTGGCATTGTAATTTTCTGAAAAGTGCGTAATATTCTTCTGTGGGGAATTTCTTTATTTCTTATTTTCTAAAAATTACAAATTTTTGACAAAATGCTTTTTGAAAGTCTGCTCCTTATATACTCGCTTTGTATCTGTAATTATTTATTTTAAAAATTACAAAACGCCATGGCTTATTTCGAGCTATAATTAAATTAACTTTAAATTAATTTAAGATTGTATTTCTGCGTTTTAACACTGAAGAAGGTTTTGTAAGCCGAAACGTTTGTTGATTATATTAATTTAAATTAATTTAATTATAGCTCGAAATAAGCCATGATATTTTGTAATTTTTTTAAGAAAATATACGAGCATTTCTACTTCAACTATTTATTTTCTTCTGCTTTTTTCATCATATATATATATATTTATATACTTTCATATATAAATATTTTAATAATTTTATAATTGCAATAAAATTTCTTGCACCTGCGCATAAAGCAACAATATTGAGCTGTATCGATAAAAAAAAAGAAAAAGTTGAATTTGAGCCGACAAACAACTCGATACGAAATGCTTGAATATCATTAAGGAGTATCTCGAATCGGAGTTGGTCCTGCCAGATTGTTTTTCGGCAACCGGTGAAAACTCGTCGTCGATCGCCTTCTTTTTTATCCATCGAACGGCGAGATAGACGCTCGTACGGTCACTTTCTTTTCTTTCGACGATGATGAGGACGGAAGCACTCGTTAGGGCCTTCGAAAATCGAAATGTAAAGGCGAGTAGGAAATTAAGAAGGTGAACACCGACGACGATGAAGACACGAGGACGACGACGACGCGACGACGACGACGACGACGACGACGACGACGACGATGGCGCGGCGAGTCGGTCACGCGCGCTTTTTCGCGCGACGTTCCACATCTTTTGATCGTGCCCCGTAATTATATGACTTCACGAACGAGATCATCCGGATCGGGACTACGCGCTGCGCGAAGTGAGCGAAGTCACGCGTGTCAAATTCCGCACGGTCATCCGTGCCGCTGGCCGCGTGTTTTTCCCAAACCGCAAAGCGGTCGACGTATACAGGGCGTTTCGGAGTAATAATGACGAAACGTCACCTCGTAACACGCGGCGCTTCGATTTTGTATCCATTTCCAGAGTACTGGGTGATAAAAAATTAGTAACCTGTATTTACAAATAAAAACAACACTTTAATTATATCTTAAATACCCAGTAATAATAATTAACTATTAATTATTAAATCCTCAAAATGACAATTAACATTCAAAATGGCCACCTCTAGCTTTGAAAAATATGATGCACACCTTGAAGGTTCGAAATGCATCAATGATGGCCGCATATTTTTTCACAGATAATTTCTATGAAATTATTTCCAGGTAGACAATAGGTCTTCAATTCATCAACTGATGAACATTTTTTCATGCAGTTTTTTTGGTACTAAACAAGATGTAACATTCTTCAAAGAGTTTGTTTTTTTTTTTAAATACGTTACTTTACAAAGTATCAAACTAACATTATTTATCGTTATTTTAATGTCAAAATGATATCTTTAATAGAGCTGTTATTTTTGACAATTTCAAAAATTCGAAGCTTCAAAGCAAGAAATTACCAACCCCAGTCTTTAATGTCATTTTGACAACAAATCTGCTTATTGCCTGTATAATAATTTGATAAATACCCAAAACTTTATGACGAAACTTTTTTCTTACAAATAATTCTGCAATGTCGCAGAAGAAAGAAGTGCAAAATGTACTTGTTTTCAGTTTAAAATTGTTTCTCGCATCATTTCGTATTCACGTATCACGCGTACTTTGTTTCCTGCGCTGATAGGCGATGATGGACGGTCATCAAGCTATTCGCGGAGAGATCGGACCCGTAACTGAATTTCGAAATTCGTCAGGTCGCAGAACGTTTCTTACGCTCCGAATGTAATCTCGTA